CTGTTCTGCTCCCCACTCTGTCTCTGGTGAATCCTCTCACCCTCCGCATCTCTGGCCTGTGCCCCAGTTCTGTATGAATAAATAAATCTTAAAAAAAAAAAAAATGTAAGTTGGGGGCCCTCCCTTGTGGCGCAGTGGGTTAAAAGCACAGCACTAAGAAGCTAAAGTCACTTCAGCATGAGTTCGATCCCTGCCCAGGGACGTGATCCACATGGTGCAGCAGACTTCTCCTGACCGGCCCGCTGATCCCCTCAGTAGTGTACTTCGTCAGTCGGCCTGTTCTGCTCCCCACTCTGTCTCTGGTGTATCCTCTCACTGTCCCTGCACCTCTGGCCTGAATCCCAGTTCTGTATGCATAAATAAATAAATTAAAATAATTAAGTTGGGTAAACTCATTCCTGTTGAATGTATTCAGGAAATCCTTACAAAGGCCTAGCTAGAGCTCCAACAGTGTCTGGCTTCTCTGAGCCCACTCCTGACTGGTCCCCTCTGGCAGCCTCATGTTGTTCTTAGGATATACCAGGAAGGTTTCCACTTTCACTCCCTTCCACACCTACTCTTTTTATCTTGAGCCTATCTGCCCCCAAATATTTGTAGCACTGCCTCCCTTACTTCCTTCAAGGCTTTTTTGAAAAGTCTTGTCACCAATCCAGTAAGGTCTCTCCCCAATCACCCTCCAAATCTAAACTGACTCCCAAAATCCAGAACTTCTGAGCTTCTCATCCACTGTCCTTTTCTTCTGGAGCACTTGCAGAACCTTAATGAATGATCTGTTTTCCTTGTCCCTTATGTTGATTATCTTTCCTGGCTTTCCTAGCAGTATCTAGGAGGGATTTTACCTGTTTCAGTCAAGAGGAATACCAAGTCCAAGAATGCCTAGTACATGGTTACCAATGAAATATTTGTAGAAAGAATGAATCCAGCAATAAATTTAGGATGAAGCTGGGCATTGTATCTCAACATTATAAATTAATATTTAATTTCATAGTTAGATAATTCTATTTAGTATTTTTTTCAGATTTATTTATTTATTCATACAGAACTAAGGTACAGGCCAGAGATGTGGAGGGTGAGAGGATTTACCAGAGACAGAGTAGGGAGCAGAAAAGGCAGACTGACGAATTACACTGCGGAGGGGAGCAGTGGGTGGGTCAGGAGAAGTCTGCTGGGCCATGTGGATCTCCTCCAGGGCAGGTGGGGATCAAACTCATGCGGAAGTGGCTTAAGCCTCTCAGTGTTGTGCTTTAACCCGCTGAGCCACCAAGGAGGGCCCTCTATTTAGTATGCTAAAGACACCAAACATTTAATGGGTTATTAACCATTTCAAATAATAATTGCAGATACCTTCATCCTACAACCCTGACTTTCAGAGGACTGGAAAAAAAAAGTTTCATATTTCAGTAAAGCAGATTATGTCACCATCTATTCTAAGGAATTATTTTCATTTATCTGTCAACTGTTATGGAAATGATAACTAGGCACAAGTAGTTGAATATGTAGTATTCATTTTCCTTCATATTTTTCTTCTACAGAAAAAAGTGGTTAAGAATGTCATTAAAAATGTACTACTACCAACATTTACTTTCTTTCCTAAATTTTCAGTCTTTGGTGATAGTACATTACTGAATAAAAATGATACTTACACATCTTGAAATTCTTCTAGAGTTTTTTGTGGTGTAAACACATTTAACAAACTTATTATCTGAAAAGAGAAAAATAGTTATATCTAGGTATGCTAGATAGCTCTACTTGATTATAAGGAGTACTCATAACATTACAATGTGTTAAAACTGAAGAAAAAAAAATCACAGGAGAGCTCAATATTTATTATTGAGCTTTTCCCGAAACATTCCACTACATGTCTTTGAAAAAATGGGAAATAATCACTCTTATAATCAAATCACCTTGTAAGGGCTGTGGGACTTTAACACATAATGTCTTTATTGCTATTAACATAAGAAACAAACTGTGGATGGAAAAACACAAAATAAAGCAATATGTTAATTCTGAAAACTTAAATATTAAGTACAAATTTATAAAAGGTTTTGAGATATGAAGGCTAAGTTTATATTTCTGATATGATAAAGAGTAAATGCTTCATAGCATTATAAATTTACTTCAAGAGGGTTCTAGAACTAATCCCAACGTAGACCTCCATTCTGGCTATAGTTCAATGAGCTCCACTTATTGAACATCAAACAGCTCTTAATCACTTCAATGACCCACAGTAAGATGAATTATTTATCTTAATGGGATGGTGGGCTTACCAGGGAAAAAAGAAAACTGAATCCGTACTTCAGTTTTGTATACCAGGATAAAGTCAAAATGGAACACAGGGTGAAATACAAAACAAGAAACCATAAAATATTATAATATGGACAAGCACTTATGTAATCCTGGTATAGAAAGGTCTCTTCTAAGTATGACAAGAAAACTAGAATTACATTAAACCAAAACTAACTAAACAAAAAAATCATTATGACAAAAACCATGTAAATAAGGTCAAATGAAAAAGAAGTAGGGTTGAGAGATTTTCTATATAAAGCTCTTCTAAAAATACACACAGCAGACACCAACAGTTCAAAAGGAAAATGCACTAAGGCAATGTCAAACAAATTCTCAAAAAATAAAAATAGTTGATTAATAAATATATGGAAAGAATTCAAGCTATCATCTATCAGACTGGTAAAACAAAAAATCATCAATATGTTGAGCTGGGAGATTTTTGAAGTAAAAGACATTTTAAAGACCCTTAGTTAAACTGCAAAATTAACAGTATTCTTGAGGATCAACTTATCAGCATATACTAAAGCCAGACGCATGCATATTCTTTGACCCAGCAAACCTAGCCAAGAAATTGACCTGGACAAATGTAAAGATGAATGTTATAAGGATGTTCACCGCAGCATTGCTGATAGTTGCAAAAAACTGAAAATAATCTAAACATCCAACAACAGGTGATTGACTAAATAACTTATTATGTGAATAATACACTACAAGGCAATTTTAAAATGATTTATATCTATACACATTTATGTATATGCGATCTAGTGAATATTCCATGATAGAAAAAAAAAACATGCTTCATTATCACATAAATGATCTTGTTTATGGGTGTATATTTATGCATAGGAATGCCAACCAGTCAGTGGGTGGTATAATTGAGGGAATTTTGCCTTCATGTTTATATTGTTTGAATTAAAATATTTTTTTCTTACATAAATAAAAAAAATAAAAAATGCATTGGAGAAACTAAAACAAACTCAAACCAGACTCAAAAGAATGAATCTATCTTAGTTTTTATATTTAATCTCTCTACAGTAGATTCAGCATAAATGTTAAAATTAAGGGAGCCATACAAAATTGAATGTAATCTTAAATACTCATCCTCTTCCAAAAAAAAGGGGTCACACAGTCCCTTCCAAACTTACATTTATGATTATAACATGGCAAAGTTATCAAAATAGTTCTCAAAATAATGCTCAGAGATCAGTAGGACACCACTGTGCCGGAGTACCTCATTGTCTAGAGACATGCTGTTAAAATCCCTTAAAATTTACAATGCTTTGATATCTGTGGAGGTGCCAGGTACAGCTATTTTAACATGACATTACCTAATAACATTTATTTAAAATTGTAAGGTTCACATTACAAGGTAAAAAGCTACTTGTAGAACAGTATTTTCCAAAAAGTTAATTTATTTTCTAATTTTTTAAGTGAACTTTTTATATAATCAGAAATAGTGAAAACCAAATGGGCTCAGGGTCAGTTGACATTCTTGTTCCTGTTAAGTGACCTAAGCTCCTAAGAATCATAAGACACCAAATGACTGCAATTTCCTCAACCAAGAATTTTATCAATAAAATGTAACTACACTGTTTTAATCACCACTTTACCTTAGTATAAATTCATTGTTTCCAAATTCCCAGATTATCATATCATTGACAACATTAAAGTATGCAGAGAAAACATAGCTATAACTTACATTTTTATGATTGACACATTTTAAGAGGACAAGTTCTCGATAAGCTCTCTTTGCATGAGTTTGGTTTTGAAATGGACGGCTTAGTTTCTTGACAGCAACATTTATCCCAAGTACTGTATCAAAAGCAGCACTATAATTAGGAAATATAAGCAATCTATTAGAATGCTTTGAAAGATATAGCAGTACAAAGTGTATATTTAGAGAGTAATCGTTCTAATAAGTAACAAAGTATTTCTGCTTGTTTCCACTTAAGATACATCTGTACAGGAAGGGCAGGACTGAGAGTGCTGGGTAGTTGAATTCCCCCATAGAGGCATGGCCACAGCAGCTCTGGTGAGGATTCAGAAATTCTTTGCACACTGACTTCTCATTTATATTGGTTGCAATTATTATGTTCAGAACCAAATAATTTATTACAGAGCATGTAAGACCAGACAAGACATTAAATCTTCAGTTTATGTCAGTAAGTTTTAAAAAAGTCATTGATTGTTATAGAATAAAATATAAACGAATTTTGGAATATCAGTGAAGGACACAGTTGATAAGTGAGCTCGTAAGAATATAGTAAATCTAAGTTTTGATTGATAGGATTTTTTCCCAGAAGAATCTAAAAAGAAAACAGCAGCCATCATCTGAGCTCATTCATTAAATCCTTAAGACACAAAATTCCTCATGTAAGGAATGAATATAGTGTCAATGAAAATAGTACAATATATATAAAATTCTACTAAAACTGTCTCCTTATGAATAAAATCTTCTAGAGGTTATGTTTTGAAAAGACATCCAACTTTCTAACTGAAACGTGTATTTCATTTTCCTCCCAATTGAGAGACATGAAAATTGAGTAACCTAATATTTTTCAGATTCCAAAATGGTACTGAAAGTATCACTGGTGGTACTATTATTTTTTTGCTACTCATTAGTGGTTAAAAGTTATATAAGGGGCCCTCTCAAGTGGCGCAGCAGGTTAAAGCACAGCACTAAGAAGCTAAAGCCACTTCGGCATGAGTTTGATCTCCGCCCGGAGGTGACCACATGGCGTGGCAGACCTCTTCTGACGGGCCCGCTGCTCCCTTCAGCAGTGTACTTCCTCAGTCTGCCTGTTCTGCTCCCCACTCTGTCTCTGGTGAATTCTCACTGCCCCTGTACCTCTGGCCCATACTCCAGGTCTGTATACATAAATAAATCAATCTTAAAAAAAAAAGTTACATAAGATTTGGGCCCTTCCTGGTGGTGCAATGGGTTAAAGTACGGCATTGCAAGCTAGCCACAGTTGCTTCATTGGGAGTTCAATCCCAGACCATGAGGTGACCAACCTGGTGGGGCAGACCTCTCCTGTTTCTTCACTGCTTCCCTCAGCAGTATACTTCATCCGTCTGCCTGCTCTACTCCCCACTCTGTCTCTGGTGAATTCTCTCACCAGGCCCCTGCATCTCTGGCCTGTACCCCAGTTCTATGTGCTTTAAAAAGAAAAAAAATAAAAAATAAAAAATCTTAAAAAAAAAAAAAAGCTGCCTTAGGGCCCTCCCTGGTGGCCTAGCCGGTTAGAGCGCTGCACTGCAGAGCTAAGCGAAGCCAAGCTGTGGCCTAGCAAGTTTGATCCCGGCCCTGGAGGTGACCCACATGGGCATCTCCTGTCTCCCCCACTGCTCCTTGCTGCTCCCCTCAGCAGGATACTTTGTAGATCTTCCTATTCTGCTCCTCATTGTTTCTGGTGAATCCTATCGCCTCCCTGCACCTCTGGCCTGTACCCCATTTCTTTATGCATAAATAACTAAAACCTTTAAAAAAAAGCTGCATAAGACCTCTTGAGAGCCTAAGAGTCATTCAAAATATGGTTATATTTATTCTATCCTGTTTCTAACACTATTAACACTCCTAATAAGTATTCTTATAAAATAATCCTAACTTAACTTGTTTTTAAATTGAAGGCTGTCCACTGTGGGATTTGGTGAAGAATTATTAGAAACTTCATAAGTTGCTTTAGAAGTATTTTTTCTTTAATTCAGTTTATATTATGTATACATTTATATATACCTATATGAAATGTCTATATGAAATGTAACATTCAAGAGTTACAAAATGTTAAAAATCAATTTGTGAAATAAATTGATGAACAGGCACACAAATATTTATTTACACCTATAAATATTTCTCAGCCTCAAGAATTTGAAAACAAATTTTTGGCCTCAAAAGTTTTTGTCCAAAATAAAACAAATGGACCTATTCTGATGCATACTTTCTTTTGCCTAAATCTTAATTTCAGTAGCAAACACCTTCAATTATTCTGATTTCTGGTGGTCACTTCTTAACTTCAAATTAACTTTTATCATTATTTCAGTGATCAATTTTAGAAATTATCTACCCACTCTCCATTATGAAAACTGAGGATTAGTTGCTTCCTTGAAACCTGCAACTCCTTCCAGTTTTTTGCCCTCATATTTAGTTTTTCCCCCTTGCTTAAACTCCTTGTTCCATCAACTTTCAAAGGACACTCTTGACTACTCCTCATTATGTAAAATGAGATGATTACATTCCACCCCCTTTCTCTCTAGCTTTCTACTGCCCCTCCTTCTTTTTCCCTCTGGACTCTGGAAAATGGTCAAGTTTGAGTAACATCTTATTTAGTCTTCTAAGTAACATCTTATTAAGCCTTCTAAGTTTCATCCTTAGGATATGTCTAAAAGTTAAAACTAGAAAATAGAAAATGTAAATATTACTAATTGCAGAGCTGGGATTACACTTCATTTTAAGACAATGTGATCCTTGCTGGCACTCATAAGAGAATGAGATTGTTTCCAGCCTCAAGGTCAAATGGATTCACTTGCCTTACATTCCATCAATTGCTCAATCCTGAGTGTTATATTTAGACCATGAATTTTTCTACTTCCTTCTGACAAATTTCTAATAAACTTACTTTTCTTCAGAAAAGAAAAATCCTTAAAAAGTCTATTACTAGTGGGGTCCTCCCTGGTGGTGCAGTGGGTTAAGGCACAGCACTGCAAGCTGGCAGCAGCCACCTTAGTGCAAGTTTGAGCCCTCGCTCTCCTGAATTGACCCACATGGCACAAGACCTCTCCTGTCTTGCCCGCTGCTCCCCTCAGCAGGTAATTCGTCGATCTACCTGTTCTGCTCACCACTGTCTGGTGAATCCTCTCACTGCCCCTAGGCCTGTATTCTGGTTCTGTATGCATAAATAAATAAATCTTTTTTTAAAAAGTCTATCACTAGTACAGTGTATCACCTAGCTTTTTACATTATCCTTTGCTTAGAATCTATTCCATAATTTTTGGAGACATTTTTCTTGGTGTTTTTTAAAGGCCTATTGCACAACTGTCATCCTAGGATTCTGACTTCTGCTGTTTCTTGTATTAAACATGCTCCTGTTGGAATACATGCTCAAGGAATTTTCTCAGAAAGTTCAACGAAGATAAATGATTTTACTGTCCTCACATTTGACTGAGAGTTTTTCTTCTAAATACAAAATCTATTGTCTCTCAGGTCACTGATTTTTCAATGCTGAATCTTGCTGGTGAGGTGGCCTCTATCGGACAGTCGCTCCTTGCTTCCTTTATTGTCTTTGGCACAACTGTTTGACACAGAGTCATGCTCTGTCAGCATCCCAAAAGTCTCCTTCACACCTGCTATTCACTATCTTTTCTGTCCCCCATTGAAGGTTAACTACTTCTCACTTTTTCTAATAATCACTTCCTTGCTTTTACCAGTTAAACATTCATCCTTAAGTCCCTTGACCCGAAGGTTTATTTTTGCCTGGTTTGTGAACTGTCTCTGACAATTTATGATATTCATTCACCATCTAAATCATTCTGTGTCACTGCTATATTTCTTTGCATGAAGATGTAATGTTGCTACTCAATTATTTTAGGTAGGCAAGGGATTACAAAAGACATGCTCACAGTCTTGCACATGACTCTGGCCCCCTGTGCATGCATTTCTGTAGATAGCTAGTTAAGAATGAGATACCATATAATCACTTGTCAAGTATTCCAGACTGGTTCATTCTACCATTTTCCAGGCCTACAAGTAGTGCATGAAAAGTCCATATCTGAAAGCTATATGAGAACCCTCAACATTCTCATCAATCATTGGCATTATCAAGTTTAACTTCTAACCATCATAAGTGTATAATATTTTATTATGGTTTCAATTTGCATTTCCCTGATAAACAACACTGAGTACCTTTACACTATTTTTAGTCATTGGATAGCTTCTTCAAGACAACATATTTTCTATTTGGCTCCGTCTTTATCTTAGTTCTTCATATATTCTAAATAAGAGACTTTTGTCAGTCATCTATCTTTCTATACGCTATGCATTATCAACATTTTCTTTGTATTTTTAACAAACAGAAGTTTTAAATTTTGTGATAATGAATGATTTTTATGTCTTTTTTTTTAAAGAAGTCTTTCCCTACTTCAAAGACAATGAAGGAATTCTGTATTTTATCCACATAGCTTTATTGTTTTACTTTATACATTTAGAGCAATTTAACTGAGGTTAATATTTTTGTATATGTGAGGTGAGGTTAAATTTCACTTTTTTCCTATAGGAATTGTCCTATGTCCATTCATTTAAAAAACTGTCTTTTCCTACCGCTCTGTAAGGCCACCATCATAAGCTACATGTCCCTTTCAGTATAGTTCCATCTCCAAGCTATTTATTTATTCCATTGTCTGTCTCTTGCACCATCTTAATCATTAATTTCACAGCACATCTCACCTCTGGCAGAATGCATCTTCTTTCCCTTTTCTTAAATGGTTTTTTAACCATTTTTGAACTTTTATGGTTCTACACATAAATTTTAGATTCATTTGCTACTAGTATTTTTAAAAGACTGCTAAGATTTATATTACAATCTATAAAGTATGAAAATTGAGATTACATAATAGTAAGTAATCTAATTCATAACTAGATATAGCCTCAATAATTTAAATTTTCTTCACTTTTCCCTAATATTTTTTAGCTCCTTTGCACAGATCTTTCAGTTTGTTTTATATAGGCACACATATATACTAAAACACATACTCAGCTTTATCTTACATAAAATGGTAGCCTTTTAAAATCTGCATTTCCATATGCTCATATGCTACTATTAATTAAGCATGCAGT